TTATAGATATCCCCAGAAAAGCATAAAAATGCAACTGGAATAGATACCTTCTCCACGAGAACTGTTGCCCATCCACAAGGCTGAGTAGAGCAGCACAGTCTCTTCCAATCCCTTCATATTGCATCCAGAGTATACAACTAATCTAAATTCAATCTAAAAACACTTTTTCAGAAATTTTGAACTAGAATTTTAATGATCATCTCAGCCCTCAATCTAATTTTCAGCTTGTTTAATAACATAAAAAATGCTGAGAAGCACTACCATATTATAATCCAGAAATAAGGGTCTCAAGACGTATTTTAAATTAACAGACTCCTAAGGAAAAGAGCAAGTCAAACAGTTCTGCAGAATAATGAGGCTATATGATAATGCATCTAACTTTTATACACTTTTAAATTTTTTTCAAAACATCTATAATATTATACTGTTAAGAGTTTAGGATAAGGCATGTATCTTAAAATTCTGCTGCTGGATATCCAAACCTAATTAGGTATCCTGTAATTAAAGAATAATTTTGAGTTTCTAACAAATCCTGGGGAGGAGGAGGAATACAAACACAGAATCCACGTCTTTTCAATACAGAACAGTGAAAAAAGATTTCTTGCTTACAAAATATTCACCTCCTGTGAATTTTCCCATGAAATATCTCATCTAGTTTGCTACATGTGTTTTAAAATGCTTTATAAAATAACAACCAGGTGCTTCCTCAAATACAGTTGAAGATATTCTGCCAAACTATTTTTAAATTACAGAGCTAACATACCTTATTTTTTTAAAAGGGGTAGAAGTAGCTGGGGATAGAACCCAAGGCCTTGCACATCCCCAGCATCCAAACAAACAATAAAAAGAGACCATATAATCTGTCAAAGCATCAATAATAAGCAAATAAATAAATAAAGGATTGTTTTCAATGTATTTCAAAGTTTAATTTTTCTTGCCTTGATTTCCTCTCTGTGCAATTTCTGTGACTTTGTTCTCACTAATAGTATCCTGTTCCCAGGCACAGGAAAGAACTTGGTGTAGTTTGTTAATTAACATTACTTCCTATAACTAAAGTTAACCTTCTGTAGTACTAACATTAAGGCTCACTACCATTCTGGATATCAGCATAGCACAATTGCTAATGAACATCCTCTATGGTGAAACCTAAATTTGTAATCAGCCAACACAGATTTGCAATAGACTTCCTCCTTCCTGTTTTCACATTCCTGACCAAAGAGATGTCTCTTCCTGTTGACTTTTGTGCTACTTGGTAAAATGTAAAAGATAAGAATAGAAATAACAATATATACTTATTTGATTTGTCCTCTTGGATAAATAATTGCTAAAATAAATTTTAATTCACAAAGTTTAAATAATTAATCAGATTAATAAATATGGCCATAGATTATTTTCCTAGAAGACTTTAGAAAATTAAACAAAAATATCAGATTACAAATGGCAGAACTAATATGCATTTTGCCAAATGACTTAAGAGATGAACTATATAATCTGCCAAAGTCCTTCACAGAAATATTAATCTACAATTATGGAGAAATATGCTTAAGGGTTTACTTCTCAACAAAGCAACAAAAAAATACATTTGTCTCTGTGGAAAACAAAACTAAAATAAGAGACTTAGAGTTTACGCATTTTGTTATGCTAAAAATTACAAATGAAGTAGTCTACAAATATTTTCATTTTTCAAAGGCAAAGATGTAACATTAATATCTTTTTACTCAAAACATCAACAACAAATTTTCAAGAAACAAACATTACAGGAGATATGAGACAAATAAATCAATAAAAAGGGACGTTAATACATCTTTCTTAATCCAAGAAAGATCAAGTGAAAAATAATATGAGGCTTTAGAAGATATAACAAACTTAACTAAGTGTGCATGTATTTGAAACTGTTAATCCTGATAAAAAAGAATATACCTTCCTTTCAAGAACATATGAAATAATCAGAAAGCTAACCAGATATTAAGCCACAAATAAACTGTAATGATTTTGAAAAATAGAAATAATTTAAACAGACTAATCTAAATATACTGTAATAAAACTAGAATGTTTTTAAAACTTTTGGATTAAAAGGAAACTACAGGGGCTGGAGTTGTAGAGTGGCAGAGCACTACAGTGGTAGAGCACTTGCTTACCATGTGTGAGGCACTGGGTTTGATCCTCAGCACCACATAAAAATAAATAAATAAAATATTTCTAAAAAGTATTTTTTAAAAAGGAAAATACAAAAATAAAACAGCAGAGTTTCTTTAAAATAGCAATAAGGAAAATAAAATATATAGAATATGGCTAGAGAAAAACCAGACATATAGCAAAATCATCAGATAAGCATTAGTTATATCAGTGAATGTTAAAAGGTACAAAATATAAAAAGCTAGAAAAAAGAATAAAAGAAGCAGAATCAATATTTAAGAGCAGAAATCAAGTTAGAAAATTAGTGGAACTAATAGATCCAAAATAAGTTTATTTTTAATGAATCAACAAAATAGACAAACCATTAACTAACCTATGAAAGGAACGGGAAATGCATAAAACTGCAAATATCCAAAAGTACAACTGACAATAGGCATGTAATTATGAAATACAGAAGAAATTATAAAAATGTAAAATCATGATCATATTGCATAACTATTCAGATGTATTTCATAAATTTAAAGAAATTAATAAATTTTCAAAAGTATACAACTTGACCATCTAGAGATAGAAAAACAGACCAATTACCACAGAAGAAACAGAGAAAGGAGTCAGAAAACTCCTTACCCACAAAGCCCAAGACCCAGTTGATTTTCACTGGGGTGATTCTAAGAAACCTTTAAAGATCAGATAATACATTATGCAAAGCACAGAAAGAGCAAAAAAATCCCATTTTGTTGAATGAAATGGGCATACCATTGATTCAAAGATCTGAAAAAGATTGCACCAAAGAAGAAAATGTCAAACCAATTTCACTTAAAAATATCAATACAAAACAAATCATTGAAAGCATAGTAACAACAGACTCCAATAGCACACTGAAAGAGCAAATCATAACCAAGTGAGATTTATTCTATGATGACAAATATTTCAATAATAGGAAATCCATTGATAAATTCAATTATATTGATGAAGCCAAGAAGAAAAATCATATGACCATCTCCAAAGTTGCAGAAAAAAATATCTAACAAAATTTAACAGCATTTCTTGTTAAAAACACTAAATAAAATGGATATGGATGGATACCTCTTAAACATTGTAAAATATAAATACCTCAGCCCAAAAACTAATGAGGAAACACCAGAAGCTTTTCTGCTAAAGTGGAGAAAAAGAAGATGCTGACTGCCTCAGCTACATGTTAAGTATCTCTAATTTCAAATGTTTGGGACCACAAGTGTTTCAGATATCTCTTCTTTTAATTTTTTTAATTTTTGGAAATGTATTATATAATAAGATATCATACACACAGACAGAGATAATTTAATAGTTTTAAGAGTTGTATTTATTAAATAAAGTTTCATTGTGCAGAATTTCCCCCTGGTGGCATCATACTGATGATCAAAAAATTTCAGATTTTGGAGCATTCTGGATTTCAGATTTTCAGATTAAGGATGCTCAACCTGTATTATATTGCAAATTCTTTATTAAGCTATTAAAGTTGATAAGAAAAAGCAATCCAAGATTTAAGAAACAGAAAGGAAGAAATAAAGTTATTTCTAAATGCAGGTTATTTTATTTTATAACTAAAAAACCTAACAGAACCAGTAGAGGAAAACTGCTACAAATAATAAGAAAACTTTAAATAGCATTTAACAGTTAAAATTTAATATACAGGGCTGGGGATAGCTCAGAGGTAGAGCACTTGTCTAGCATGCACAAGGAGGCCCTGGGTTCAATGTGCAGATAATATACAAAGATCACTAGCATTTGTATGTGTGCACACATGTTAATGTGTTTTAAGTCAACTGTCACTATAACAAAATATCTGAGATAATTAACTTAAAAATAGAAAAGGTTGGGCTGGGGATGTGGCTCAAGCGGTAGCGCGCTTGCCTGGCATGTGTGCGGCCCGGGTTCAATCCTCAGCACCACATACAAACAAAGATGTTGTGTCCGCCAAAAACTGAAAAATAAATATTAAAATTCTTTAAAAAAAAAAAAGAGAAAAGGTATATTTTGGCACACAGTTTTGGAGATTGCAGTCTTTGACTGGTTCCATTTCTTTGGACCTATAGTAACCCAGCATATCATGTGGCAGAGCAAAACTGTTCTGCCTCAAGAGTCAGGAAGCAGAATAGAAAGAGAAGGGGCTGAGATCCCACAATCCCTTTAAAGGTATGCTTCAGTGACCTAAGGTCCTCCAACTAGGCCTCACCTCCTAAAGGTTCCATGCCTCCCAAAAGATCCACCCCAAGTATAAAATATTTAACACATGGACCTTTGGGGGACACTTATCCAAACTAACTTTGTTTGTTGCCGCAGCCCGGCTGGGGGACGAACAACTTGTGTACGTTGATACAGTAGGAGTAGGAGCCGTTTATTGCAGGACAGGAGCAGTATTTATACATTCCACACAGCTTATCTAATTAGCATAAACTAGATACATCAGTCAACCAATAAGGAATCTCCACACTTAATGGCTCGCTTTTGTTACTTCTCAAACCACTCCCTCTGGCATTTTGCCAGGCACCATCTAGACTTGTTCACGAACTTTAACATTCCCCTGGCAAAATGCCAGGTGTTATTTTGACTTGTTTACAGACTCTAACATTTCCCCCTTTTGTTTAATTTAAATAACGACCATAGTGGTTTTTACAGAAACACCATAAATAACCTGCTACAAACAGAAAGGGAGGATACAAAATGTCACAATACCAAGCCAATTGATGGCTCCATGCAAGAAGCCCTTGGAAAAATTATACCAGCAATGACACCATTTGCAAAGATACCGAGTTACAATTTGTTGTAGATTACATTTTGTTGTCTCAGTCCAGGTAAAGCAGTGTCTCAATAGATTAACTCACAGTCCAGGTAAATCACAGTCCAGGTAAGTTCTGTAGGCAGCTAGTTTGATCTGAAGTCTCATCCGTTTTTCAGCCAAAGTCTTGTCCGGTTCTCAGCAACACTGGAAATTTTTTCACCTTTGTTTTCACCAGCACTGGGACGAAGGCAGGAACTCCGGATGGCTAAAGAAAATCCTGTAGCATTCCACTAAGAAAACAACCTTCTGAACAATTTAGTACATTATCTCAAGGTTTTTTTGTATTTGAAATAAGCATTAATAGTGCTCATTACTCATCAGCTTCCAGGTGTGGGAGAACCACTGTAGCTTAGTTATTGGCATTGAAAATGACCAAACATCAGGGACACCAGTAGCGTCTTCTGCTGGCTGTAGTGCCTGGGCAGCCCCAGATGGCCCTGGGGAGTATCCCGGACTCAAACTGCTACTGGGCACAGGGAGCAAGAGCTTGCAAGACTGTGCCTCCAGGTCAGGTCTAGATTTGGGCTCTCAGCAGTGGAAGAGCCAGCTCCCCGGCCAGGAGGCGGGGAAGGGCCAGTCGCCGCCGCCTCTTGGAAAATCCTTGCTGCACTGTGACCGGCTTGCACACTCGGCAGCCGCCTCTCCGCTTCACGCACCCTCCGGTAACGAAAAGTATTTAGTAATAGCCTTTTGCTGCAACTTTTTTTCTGATAATCCTTCTTCTTCTGAACTTTCTTTTTCTTTCTGACTAGAGTTCCTGGGCTTTTATCAACATATGCCCTAACTACTCTTGGTTCCAGTGGGGTGCCTTCTTCCCTTAGTAATTTACTTCTCACCCCTTCCATATTTTCATCACAAAGACAATACAACATTTCAAGACAAAACAAGACACAAACATACTGTATCAATCTTCTCCATCTTCTTAAAATGGCCATTTTTCCTCTCGCCCTATCTGCCTAGGGACGAGCAGATTTGCTCCCGTCCTATCTATGGACGGGCAGCTTTTTTTTCGTCACTTACCCCAGAGTGTCCCGGGGCTCCCCGTACGGGCCACCATCTGCCGCAGTCCGTCTGCAGCAAAATAACGGGGGGGGGGGGGGGGACAAATAACTTGTGTATGTTGATACAGCAGGAGTAGGAGCCGTTTATTGCAGGACAGGAGCAGTATTTATACATTCCACACAGCTTATCTAATTAGCATAAACTAGATACATCAGTCAACCAATAAGGAATCTCCACACTTAATGGCTCGCTTTTGTTACTTCTCAAACCACTCCCTCTGGCATTTTGCCAGGCACCATCTAGACTTGTTTACGAACTTTAACATTCCCCTGGCAAAATGCCAGGTGTTATTTTGACTTGTTTACAGACTCTAACAGTTTGTTTGTGTGCGTATGTGTATATGAATGTGTATGTGTACATACTAGTTACTAATAAATATATATACATTCGAAAACACCCAAGAAAAATAACAAGAAATACAGTCATGTGTCGCTTAACAACAGGGATATGTTCATTCATTCTTTTTTCTTTTTTGTGGTACTGGGAATCAAAGCTAGAACAACACATACTACATGCTACACATAGACAAACTACCCCTTGTCCTGCAGAATACGTTCTAAGAATTGCACTGTTAGATGATTCTGTCACTGTGTAAACATTGTTGAGTATACTTAAATGAACCTAAGTAGTAAAACCTATTTTCAAATTTTTTAAAAAACTTTTTTGTCAAAAACTAAGGCACAAGGTTGAGGGTGTTGCTCAATTAAAAACTAGACACAGGGGCAGGGGCTGTGGCTCAGTGGTCGGCACTTGCCTGGCATGTGTGAGGCACCAGGTTCCATTCTCAGCACTGCATATAAATAATAAAATAAAAGTCTATCAACAACTAAAAAAATATATCTTAAAAAAAAAACTAAGACATAGGGTAGAGAGTGTAGGTCAGGGGTAGAGTGCTTGCACAACACAAGATCCTGGGTTCAATCCCAAGGGAAGGAAGGAAGGAAGGAAGGAAGGAAGGAAGGAAGGAAGGAAGGAGGAAGGAGGGAAGGAAAGAAACCTAAGACAAACACACCCCTTAACCTTGGCTACATAGGGTCAGAATTATTATTAATACTATCTTCCACTTGCATATCTTGTCTCACTAACAGGTCTTCAGGAGCAGTAACACAAATAGAGCTATCATTTCCTACGATGATAATTCCTTCACCTCCTGAAGGACTTGCCTGAGTCTATTTTACAGCTAACTTCTTTTTTCAAATAGAAGGGCTATACTCTAAAATAATGATTAAAAGTATAGCACAGTAAATATATAAAGAAGTAACATAGTCATTCATTATCAAGTATTACAAAATTGTATGTGCTATGCTTTTATATGACTGGACACACAAGTTTCTCTACATCAGCCTCACCACAAACATGAAAGTTATGCATTCATTGCACTGTGACATTACCAGGACTATTACATCACTAGGTGATAAGAATTTTTCAGCTCCATTATAATATTTTTTAATTTTTAAAATTTTTTTAAATAAATGACAGAGGAATGCATTACTATTCATATTACACATATAAAGCACAATTTTTCATAACTCTGGTTGTTTACAAAAGTATATTCACACCAATTCATGTCTTCATACATGTACTTTAGATTATGATGTCCATCACATTATAATCCATATAATTCCATTATAATCTTATGGGACCACCATCATATGTGTGTTGTTGACCAAATATCATTATGACACGTACCAACACATAATCTTAAGGAATTCTAAAAGTTATTTATGAAAAACTTTTAACCTAGAATATGTTCTTGGATAGGAAGATTCAATATCACCAAGATGTAGGTTCTCTCTAATTAATTTATAAATTTATAAATTAGGTTAAATCCCAATAAAACACTTTAAAGATTTTTTTTCGAGAGCTAGACAAGTTGATTATTAGGTTCATTTTTCATTAACATGTTCTAAAACTAACTCTGTAAGCAAAGCATGTTTGAAAATAATTTCCAAGATTTAGGTAACTTGAAACCTTAATATTTAATTAATATATAATCATTACCTAGTTAATTTTTAAGCACAGGAGAACACTAAAAGACTGACTACTAAACATATATAGATTTATACTTAGGTTTCTTATTTTTATATGCTTACAGAGCCTTAAGTTTTAGGACATGTTAATGAAAAATTTGCCAATTTAAAGTATAAAAAGGATATTCTGTGGTTGTAGGAAACTGTATTTGTATGAACTTTACCAGTACAGTAAAATGCTTGCATACAACAGTTCTAAATGTTCTGCTCCAGGGGTTTCAATGTGAAATATAAATTAGTTTGTTCAAAAAGTTAAAATCAGTACCTGAGGCTATGAACACTCTCGAGAAAATCGTGACCAAAAAACACAACTGTGTATGTGCTTTTGTTTTTCAAGAAAAAAGTCATTTTATCCTAAAGCAGTTTTCAAAATTTTTTGTTCTTTTATAGACTTAAAACTCCAAAAAGCTTTGTTTTATATCAATCAATATTTTTTCCAAACACTAAGTTAATCTTTATTACTCATGTGTGCAAGCAAAACACAAATACATGTTTTTTCCTTTACTACTTTTGAACATTTCTTTTTTTATTATTATTAGTTGTTCAAAACATTATAAAGCTCTTGACATATCATATTTCATACATTTTCAATCAATATTTGTTGCATTAATAATTAAAACAAAGAAATAGATCAGTCCAGGACAACTATGTGACTTGCACAGTGATGCTATGATGTGAGAAAGAAAGAGAGTTTTACTGTGTTAACTATAAAAAAAACTGGGCATTATTTTTTAAAAAAGAAAGAAAGAAAGGGAAGGAGAGAGGGACAGAGGGAGGGGAAGGGGAGAGGGAGGGAGGGGAGAGGGAGGGAGGGAGGGGGAGAGGGGGAGAGAGAGAGAGAGAGAGAGAGAGAGAGAGAGAGAGAGAGAGAGAGAGAAATAACCAAAGTGAAAACTCCAATAGTAGATGTGACATGACAGAACAAAAAAATCAATGAACCTCAACATAAGCTAACATATGCAACTCAAAAGAAAAAAATTAAGAAAATAAACATTGCCTCAAAGAAATATGGACACCATTAATCACACCAACACTCATGTCATGGGAGCACCAAAGCTGATAAGAGAAAGGGGCAGAAAATCTGTTGGAAAAAAATAATGCTTATTCTTTTCCTAAATTCAATGAAAAACATTAATCTACATATCTAAGATCAAATAACTCCAAGTATGATGAATATAATACAGAGAACAGTAAAATAATGTGAGATAAAGGAAATATACTGAAACAAAAAAAATATTCATCATACACAAGGGGAAAAAAATGGAGGCTAAAAGAATGACATATTCAAAATATAAAAAGGAAAAAAAACTGTCAACCAAGAATTTTATAGCCAGGAAAAGTTTCTTTCAAAAATGAAGATAAAATAAAGATATTCCCAGATAAACAAAAATAGAGAATTAGTTACCAGCAGACCAGTCTTAAAACAAATGGCATTTCATCAAGATCAAGAGTAACCCTGAGTAGCAATGTGAACACACAGACACACAAAGAGCCCTAGTAAAAGTAACTCTATAATTATACAGTATAAATATATATTTCTTCTTCATGTTTCTCTTAACTGATTTAACAGCTGACTTCTCAACTGCATAAAACTGTATGCATAATTTGTAATGGAGGACACATAGTATGTAGAAATATAATTAATTGACCATAAGAGCACAAAAGGGAGTTTATGAGCAAAGCTATACTAGAATCAGAAAATGACACAAGATGACAGCTAAACATCCAGCAATAAATGAAGAAAATCATAAATGGAAAATAAAAAGATTAACATAACAAACTCTATAAACATATTCACTCCTTTTTCTTAGCTTCTTTAAAAGGACAAAAAGTTGTAACTATGTATTATTATATTTATAACATGTAGATATAAGATTATAACAATATAGCAAAGAAAGAATAGAGCTATATAGGAGTACTATTTCTGTATCTCACTGGAATTGAGTTAAAATAACAGATCTGAAGCAGTTCTGAGAGCAAGTACTGCGACAAAACTTTTGAAAAAGATTATTAAAGTAATTAAATATTGCACTAGAAAATAATTAATGCAAAAGAAGATATAAAACAGGGGCTGGGGTTGTGGTTCAGCGGTAGAGCGCTTGCCTTACACATGTGAGACCCTGGGTTCCATCCTCAGCACCACATAAAAAAATAAACAAATGAAATAAAGGTGTTGTGTCCAACTACAACTAAAAAATAAATATAAAAAATTTTTAAAAAGATATAAAACATATAAAAAATGAAACAACAAATACAAATCTAATTGTATATATAACATTAAATATAAATGAACTGAACAAACCATTCAAAATGCATAGACTATCAAACTGGATAAAAAATAAGATCCAATGATGTGGTATCTAGAGGAGGTATTTTATATTTAAAGACAAAAAGGTGCTGAAAGTAAAAGGCTAGAAATATATATGTATCATGAAAAGAACAAGCACAAGTTGGAATAACTATATCAGACAAAACAGACAATTCTAGAGATAAAGGAGGATATTTTATGGTGGTAAAAGTGTCACTCAACCAAGACTATATAATTAATATAAAAATACATACACCTAACAACAGGGTACAAAAAGACATGAAACAAAAACTATTCATTACTCAATAATGAATAGAACAACTACACAGAAGACCAAAAAGGAAATAAGAGACTTGAAAAAAAATATATCAGCTAACAAGACCCTAGATATGTATAAGATTCTCCACCAAACAACAGGAGGTACCTATTTTTCTCAAGTGCACATGGAATATTCTCCAGAAGAGACCACGTTACGACATAAAGGAATCCTCAATAAATTTTAAAAAACTGAAATCATACAAACTATTATCTCTGACTGCTACAAAATGAAACTAGAAATGAATAAGAGAAGAACATTTGGGAAATGCACAAATATATGGAAATTAAACAACATACTTCTAAATAACCAATAGTTTAAGGAAAAAATCTCAAGGGGAAATTTTTAAAAAATA